TCCTGCCACAGATTATCTGGTTTGCTGAATAATCAATGAAGCACAGGAAGTTTTCAAATAAACTTTTAGGCAGGGCTGCATTACCTCTGATCTGCCACTAGAAAAAAATCACTTTTACCAGTTTAAATTGTAGGATAATTACCTTATTTTTAAAAAGAAACAGGTTTCCGATTATATTCCTCTCCCCTTTTTAAAGTTTTTTTTTATGGAAATTGACAAAAATACAAAAAAGATGAGATAATAAAATAATGAACCTCCATGTACCTATCACCCAGCTTCAGTAATGATCAATTTTGTTATTATTTTGTTATTTTGTTATTTTTGTTTTTATCTATTACATTTCTCTCTCCCTTCATCATTTTTTCAGTATTTTTAAATAAATTCCCACTGTCATACCATTTCACCTCCAAATACATCAGAATTTATCTGACAAGTAAGATTTTTAAAAACTAACTATAATATCACTGAAATAATTAACAAAATAACAAGAATTCTTTAATAACTTCTAACACCTAGCTTATGTTCCAATGTCTCTGATTGTCTAAAAAAAAAATCCTTTTGGATTGAAACAGGATCCAAACAAAGCCTACACATTGGATTTTAATGATGTCTTTCGTTTACACCTTTTGTCCCCGTGTCCTTCAAATCTCAGTAAAATGATGTTCAATATTTTTTATCTAGAATAAATGAATCCACCCAAACTTAACATATGCTCCTGGTGATAACCTAATTATGTAATATTTTCAAGGACAGGGTTATCATACAATTTATCATTCAAACAAGAAAACTCTTGAGTGAAAAGGGGATGCTATTAGTAATTATACTGGTGTAAACCAGAACAAAGAGTCACCCTACCAGTAGAGATATTAGATGTTAAAAATGAGGATCAGGTTCCCGATTTCTACTTGGATGCAGGGAGCTGGAAAAGAACTAGAAAGGATGTCACTCCCATCCTTACAATTTTTTAAAAAAAGCTGAACAAGCTGCAAGTTAACGACTTTTCCTGGATTCATCAAAGAGCTGAAGTTGAGAAAAATGCCAAAATCTGAGGAGAAACAATGCCTGTGGGGAGACATAGAATACAAGCATTTGTTTACTTGGGGCACTTGAACACCCGGAAGAAGTATTCACCTGGAATTGTTAACAAATTCGTAGAGGCTGAGTATTGGCTGGCGACAGCATAGAATTCTAAAGGCTTCAGCTATAAGGAGCATTCACAACACTCACAGGCTTTGCTCTCTACAGATTCCAATGAGTACTCACCAAAAATATGGCAAAAGACCTGAGGAAGCATCCCTCATGGCACAGGCTTAGGAGAGGGGACGAGCAACTGCTGCAGGAAGGCCATGGAGCACTGCCCAGATTCTTCTTCTCTAGCTTCCCTATAAAAGAAAAAAATCACTGGGGATGTGGTGTATTAAAAGAGTAAGGGAAAAAAAACTCCACAATGCCAAGAGACAAAATAATCAACAGAACCAGACTCATATAAATTAGAGTAATCAGATAGGGAATTTAAAATAACTATTAAAAATATGTCAATGTCTCCAATGGAAAAATTGGACATCACTCATTGTCACATGAATAATTTCAGCAGAGAGATAGAAACTGTAAGAAAACAATTAAATGAAGATGCTAGAAATAAAAAATAGTGATAGGGATCAAGACTGTCAGTCCGGCCGGGCGTGGCTCAGCTGTTGAGCATCGACCTAGGATCCAGGAGATCGAGGTTCGATTCCCGGTCAGGGCACATGCCCGGGTTGGGGGCTCGATCCCCAGTCAGGGGCGTGCAGGACGCAGCCGATCAATGATGACTCTCTCGTTGTTGATGTTTCTCTCTCTCTCCCTCTCCCTTCCTCTCTCTAAAATCAATAAAGATATATTTTTAAAAAAGGAAAAACTAAACAGGAAATGCACTTCTGCTGCATACTGTCATGGGATGGCTGTCTCCAGGAAAAGCATTTGTGAAACTGCGTGACAAACAAGTTTTACTTTTTTTTAAATCTTCACCCCAGGATATTTTTTTCCCCATGGCTTTTGAGAGAGAGTGGAAGGGGGAGGAGAGAGAGAAAGAGAAAGATCGATGTGAGAGAGACACATCGATTGGCTGCCTCCTGCATGCGCCTCATGTACCCCAAATAGGGCCGGGATAGAGCCTGCAACCCAGGTACATGCCCTTGGCCAAAATCAAACCTGGGACCCTTCAGTCCACAGGTCAACACTCTAACCACTGAGGAAAACCAGCCAAAACCAAGTTGCACATTTTTCGTGGAACACCATTTTTAAAGAACAACTGGCAGCCAAACTCTAGTTATTCAGACAAGAGTATCTGACAGATATTTTCTCAAAAATTAATAAAGTGAGCTGTCACTTCACAGAAAACAGCCTTCAATATTTGTTGCCATGATAAAATTCAAGCACTCAAGTGAAAATGAGAATTTTAGAAAATTTTTGCTCAACACCCTAAGCTTGACAGCTTCTCAATACTTACATTTTTCTGATGAGATCAACAGTGATGTTTAAAAATGTGATTTCTTGTCCAGCCTATGTGGCTGGGCAGTTAAGTGTCAACCCATGAACCAGGCGATGGCGGCTCAATTCCTGGTCAGGGCACATGCCTGGATTGTGGGCATAATCCCCAGTGCAGGAGGCAGCCGAGGGAGGATTCTCTCTCACCATTGATCTCTCTCTCTCTCCCCCCCTCTGTCTTCCTCTCTCTGGATACCATATAATCAAGTGTGTCAACATTTATAAGATCTGTATAACTCAATGAACTGGTATTTTCCAAATGACAAATTCATGGTGTTGTAAAACTACATGTGCATAAGTGGTCCATTCAAAGTGTAAGACAGAAAATGGACTTAAGTGTAACAGAGTACAAAAAGTGCATTGATGTAGATTAAGACTCTTCATGGTAATCAACTTTTAAGAAACTATCACCTGTCAAGTTTTGAATTAGCATCAAAGAATACCCATAATTACCTGAAGGTTATCAAAATACTCCTCCCTTTCCAACTACATATCTATGTGAGGCCAGATTTTCTCAAGTACTTCAACCAAAACAAGGTATTGCAAGAGATTAAACGTAAAAACACATGAGAATCTGGCTGTTCTCTCTTATAAAAACAAGACTTGTAAAAATGTAAACAATGCCATGCTTCACACTACATTTTGTTTTGCAAGTTCTTTTTTCATTAAAAAATTATATTGTCCTGGCCAGTGTGGCTCAGTTGGTTGGAGCATTGTCCCATACAACAAAAAGGTTGTGGTTGGATTCCCAGTCAGGGCACATATCTAGGCTGCAGGTTCAATTCCCGGGTTAGGGTACATAGGAGAGGCAACGGATTGATGTTTCTCTTACATTGATGTTTCTCTCTCTCCATCTCTCTTCCTCTCTCAAATAATTTTTAAAATGTTAAAAAAAAAACTTTAAAAAATTGAAACAGAACTAAAAATGTCCTATTTCTTACTTTCATCTTAGAAGCTAAAAATACACTGTCAGTGTTGTCCTTTTTTAAAAAATCAATGAAAAGTATTTAACCATAGAAAATAAGGTTTTAGTTAGGTTTATAATCAACATTTTCATCTCTAAAGATATGAGGAATTAACTAATTTTATATACCTACAACACTTCACTGTTACTAATTTTGAAACTATTCAATGAATGACCTCATCTGGAAATAAAGAATAAGATTTAACTATTTTTAAAGACCTGGTATTCTCATCAAAGATAAGTAAAATAAAAACATCAAGGACATGTTTTTTCAGCTCTCCTAATATTTTAATCTTGCTTCTTTTATTCTTTCCAAGATCTTTGAAGTAGAAAAAATATTTTAACACAAATTTTTTAAACAAAATAACTATTTTAAAGATGGAGCAAAGTCCACACATTTAGGTTTTAAATTTCAGAAAAGATATTTTCAACACATTCAAATATTTAAGTAACTTTAGGATAATACATAAAAGCCACCACTGAAATATAAAACTGACTTTTTTCTATAAGGGACAAAAGTTAAAACTGAAGAAATTAAATTTATAAGATCTCTTTCCCCTCTAAGTTTTTTAAGAAACACATTTATGAAATTTACATTTTCTGGCTGTTATAAATTCTTTTCAAAAGGCATCACAATTAAAAATCTCAAGATCTATGAAAAAAATTTTAAAGAGCAGTAACTACTTTGATAAACTGTAAGAACCATCTCATACTTGTCTTCCTCTACTTTTTCACTCATTTTTTAGAAAGCATTTTTCCTTCCTTTTCTCAAAGAGAAATTCCTATAAATCATTGGTACCTGTCATCTACATTCAGTTCAATTTTTATCTTCCTCAAGTCATATCTCACCTTTAAAGCAAATTTGAATCTAATAAATCAGATGAACAGCAACTGATTCCAAAAGCTGAGTTAAAAACCAAAATATATTCTAGTATATACCAATATATTATATATTCCAATACAGGTTAGTGTTAAAAACCTAAGTATTCAATACTTGTTTAAGAGGCTTAAAAGGAGGTTTTAATACCAGAACCTGGACCTAGGCCTTCAACTTCATTCTAATCAAATTATTATAGTAAGAATAAACTGTCATGACATTGGACCAAGCCAACCAAGACATAAAGATTACTAAGTACAAAATGGTTTTCCAAGAGTGGTTTTCATTCTCTCTTGGTAACCAATTTTCTATCATTATACAACTGGAACTGCTTCCATGAAGTCACCAGTATGAAATCACATTTCTTCCAGAAATCTACCTCCAGGCATCCACACCCTCCCTGACAAGAACTAAGTCTACCCACTCCCCTCCCTCCCTTAAGTATTCAATTTCTTTCCCAAAGTAGAGCTTCCATAAATATTACAATATTAAGGACTAAATTTTAATGAATACAAATCAGAGGAAATGAAGGAACATTAACTCTCATTCAAACCTTCCTTAAAAAAATCTGTTTCCAAGTTATATTTTTAACTTCCCCCATGATTCTCTTTAAAAAAGACGAACACAAATATCTCTCTGCTAATGACTTTATTCATGAATCTATAATGGAACTCAAAATAGCAAAGAACATGAAAAAAATTCAGATTAATATTTATCAACCAAATCAGAGAATACATCTACTTTTCATATAACTAACAAATGTCTAAAATGCACAGGTAAGAATATAAATATTCTCCATTTTGTGGAATTTCAAAGTAATGAAGATTTGCTTACTAGTTTGCTAGAAAAGCTGTTACACTGTTAAATACATATAATTCAAAAGAAATCAAACATAACTGATAAAATAACCATCTCATGGTTAAACTTTTGATAAAGTGCTACTTTCATACCGAAAAAAGAACTTGTAAAGACTAAAAACTGGTAAATGCTGTACCATCATTGTAAAAGTGTTAAAACTTTTCTTCAGTAGTCACTTCATTTATCATAATCACATGTTCCCAATATGAGGTATAAACATTATTTTGCAATTTAAAATATCTTTTAGTTCACAGGTTATTTCCTGGAAGTTAAAAATCACTACACCATTGCTTAATATGATTTTTCATGATACAGGAATTCTTAGACACAATAATTTCCCATTTTTTTAAACATGATCTTTGGTTTGAAGCTGTCCTGATATCTTTCTAGTTGAATGGTTGTGGTTAGTAAAGTATTCATAAAACAGTACAGTAGCTTAATTTGCCCCAATAAAAGTAAATTGGGTCAATGGCAACGTATGGCACAAATCAAGAAATCTGACGAGATGAGTTTCCCCGAATCCAAAACTGACATGGTCAGCGTTAAAGGAAACCGGTGTGGCTCAGCAATGCCTCACCTCCTTTCATCAGAAACCTCTATCAATTAATTAACAGCATTAGCCACTGAGAGGAAATTAGTTGGGAAAAGTCCGAGTAAGGCACACAGGTACAATCCTAGCGAAACAGGCGTGGGTGTGTCTGCCCCAGGCACACACGCACATCTCATGTCTGAGGCTGAACACCAGCACTCAGAGATTCCACAAGGAAAACTCTGTGCCTGGGGATATGTGTACCCTAGAGACAGGTACCAGCTGACGGTTTCCAGAAATAATGAGTCTTTAAACAATGCAAAAGTTAGCCTTTCCCCAAAACAAAAGGTTTTAAATTAACAGCAAAGGGATGCAATAACAACGGAAACCGTGAGAAGCCTCCAAGTTAAAACTCAGAAAGACAAGTTCAATTTCCTAAATGAAGGCTGCCAATGATTTCTTCTCTCTCTCCTTGAATAATCAGATGTAAGTGCCGTTTGGCAATGGCAGCATTCAAATCCCACAAGAAATCAAGCAGTGTCCCGTTAAGGAGTACTTCCATTGGCACAAACTGTAAAACTTGCTGGGGCGCATCAGGGTTAAGCAAAGCACTCAACAGTTCACTCACATTCTGCAGATACTGGAAAACTGGATTTGGAAGGTCCTGGTAACCAACACATAACAGGACTGCACAGGTCTTTAGGGGCTCAGAGGATGTGGGACAAGAAAATGTGATGAATCTAAAACAACTGTGGAGTATAAAGATCAAACCAGCCATAAACCTCGTAAAACAAGAAAGTACAGGCAAAATCATAACATCGCCTGTATTAAGCTGCTGTAATGAATGTAGAAGGCAGTCCAAAAATAACTGCTGGTAAGCTGGGTCTCCGTCATGAAGCAATGAACAGGTACAAGTCATGAGTTCAGCCGATTCAAGCAGCTGAACTTCCAATGGCATATCCATTTTGATATCAGGGAGAGTTGGAAAACCCACAAGCAGGCACTTTATTTGGTTGCTGGGTTTTACAACTTGCTCATCCTGAAGACACTTGATAAGGCTAAACAACTCAGAAAAGATCAGTTCTTCAGAAAAAACATGACAAGAACGACAATGCTGCTGTTTTGGCCAAAACTTGGAATCCAAATTCAAGGCTCCTCCTAATGACTTTTCAATAGCTTCATTAAGAGCCTTTAAAATTTCACCATCGCAAAAAGGAGAACACTTTACTTTTGGCAGCTTTTTTCCCTCTAAAATATGCCATAAGTGACACTCAAGATTGGAAGCTGTCCATTCTAAAAGAGAACTTTGCCCAGGATGATAGGCCGCATGTTCCTCAGCCCAACTATTAAAGTATCCTTTGGCCACCTTATCTTTCCATGAAAGAGTTTCTAGCATTTTCCTTTCATTATAAGTTTTAAAATATCTGTTCCTCTGCCCAAACCATTTTGTATTTGCACTACAACCAATATTAGATTTTTTGACTAGCCAATTATTTCTAGACAGAGGCTTCAACTGAAACTTTTGCATGAAATACTGCACAGCACAGTCCCTTAAATTATTCAGCCTTGCTTGTTCCTCCTCTCCCATGCACTCGAACAGACGGATGTTCTCAGAAATAGTCTCTAGCTGGTATTTATGAAAGAACACACAACATTCTTCATGGCTTTTAAGAAAAGATGCAGGAATCACATGACGGGGAAAGAGAGCTTTCCTGCTCATTTCAGTCCCAAAATTCAGCACCATCTTAGATAACAGAGGCTGGATTACCTCTCTCCCCTTATAGTGGAGACATATCACATAGACTTCTGAGTTTCCTGCCTTGCTTGTAGCAGGTTTGAAAACATGGACTTGCTCAAAGGAGCAGTTTAGCAGGTACATCAGGTTTATGGAACAATGTTCAAACAAAGTAAACATCTTCAGAACAAAAGAGCCACCGTTTCCAAGAGTCATCAGAGCAGTGACTACTTCACAGTAATGCAAAGAAGAGACTAAGGCTTCTTGTTCACCTGGGTTTCCTTGGCAATCAAAACTCCCATCTGCGGTGATCAAGTGAACAGTGGCCATGTTGCTTATGAAACTCTGAAGTCCAGTCAGATATTTCAAGGTCATGATATCACCGGTGTTATCTGGACCAAAGTACCACCAATGCAAGGTATTCGAAATAAGTCGGTCATCCATAATCATCATAAGATTGTCATTTGCTTCATTGTATGGATTCAGGGTATTAGCTACCCAACTCCAATCACAAGGAAATCGATGGGATTTTAAGTAATGATTGAGACTAGCTATAAAAGCTCCGGGAGCTTCACAAAGGTGTAGAGAATTCAGTTTTCCATTCTGAAAAGCTTTCTGTGGAATAACTGGAAAGCTGCACAAAATTTCATGAAACTTACACCATGCTTGAGTACAAAGTTCAGCGTTCACAGATTTCCTCACATGAGAAATTATTTTTCCAGCTTTATTAGTGAAAGCGGTGTGTTCATGCCACTCAACCAGTTTCTTATCACTCAGTAGGTTTTTTACTTCATTTAGGGAGTTCTTCAAATCAAGAAATACATCGAAATCCGTGTGGTCACAGGTAAAAATTTCACTGGGATCTGGTAACTGCCACTCATTACTAAGTGGCTTGACATAAGAAAAGTTCTTGGCAAAGAGTTGAGAAATGTCAGCAACAACATCTGGGCTGAATGTCTCAAGACTTGAACCCTGTGGTGGCTTTCTGCACTTACTCATTTTCAAATTAAATTAAAATCTAGAAAAAGAAAACACATAATTAAATGAATCAAATTTATTAGTGAGCAAAATCTCATCTACAGCAAATCAAGTCTCACACTCATAACAAACTGCATAAAATGGAAAGGCTTAATGTCAGCACACTCAATTATATAATGAGACAATTTGGAATAAAGAAAGAGTACAGGGTCCAGCTGGTGTAGATCAGTGGTTGAGCACTGACAGATGAATGTGGAAGTCACGGTTTGATTCCCAGTCAAGGCACATGCCTGGGTATCGGGCTCAATCCCCAGTGGGGGGCATGCAGGAGGCAGCCGATCAATGATCCTCTCTCATCAGGGCGGTTTCTATCTCTCTCCCTTCCTCTCTCTGAAGTCAATAAAAACCTATTTTTTTTAAAAAAAAAAAGTAAAGGCTTTGACATCCAACAGACCTGGGCTCAAATTCCAGCTCTGCCACTTAAAGCTTAATAAGTAGCCTTGGGAAAATTACTTTACATCTTTAGTCTCAGTTTCTTATTTTAAAAAACGGAGGTATCATTTTTTTAAAGGATAAAACATGCTTGCGTGGCTATACAAAGCAAATACCACGGAAGATTCATCAGTAAATGGCAGCTCTTATTACCACAGCAACCCCTTGAGTTCCTCCCCAAAGTCCTCCTCTATCAATGGCAAAGACACCACTCACAGAGCCCCAAACACACTTGGACCAAGATTCATCTCCAAATATGACCCTTGACCATTTGATCAAGTTCTAACAAATGACTTTTAGGTTTGTTGTTTTTTTAGTTCCCTCCAAATCTCACTTCCTTCCAGGAAAGGATCCCGCATCTGAAACCAACACTGATCCCCCTACCAGACCTCTTTACCACCACCACCCACTTACTCACCCACCAGAATTGCCAAATACGTCTTCAGTCCAGATCTCACTCTCTTGCTAAGACATGTACTTTGTTGGTATCAAATCACTTTATGAGTCACCAACTAACACTCATCACTATACTGTTAACTATGGTGCATGACTGGTTAGCCTCCTTCTATTCAATGCTGATACTGACCTATAGTTCATCCTGGTGTGTCTCTAAACTACAAATTCCTGCCTCATCTGGTCAGACAGCTCCATGCTCATATGCTCATACTATAAAATATTACTCCTTCTTGCCACTAGAACTTATGACCCTTGACACACCTTGACAGAAGAATTTTAAAGTGAAGAATATCCTTACAAATTACAAATAGTCACCCTACATTCTGTGTTCTGACACTGCGTAAGAAACCGAAAACATCTGTCCACCAGAGAGGAAAACAGACATAAGGGAAAGAAGCATGGCTTAATGGCATAGTGTTGGAAAAGTTCTAAATTCCAGCAGACAGAGCAATGAGTATTACATGGTAAGCTGACCCTTAAACACTGGTTAGAACTGCACACATCCATTTATACATAAAATATACAAAGTAAGTGTTAACTGCTTATGTTGATCAGTAAGGCTTCCAGTCAACAGCAGGCCATTAGTAGTTAAGTTTTGGGGGCATCAAAATTATACATGAGGGTTGGCGCCCTAACCCATGTTGCTCAAGGGTCAACTGTACTAGTTAGCACAGTGTTAGCAGCTGATTTAGTTCATGAGTTCTGCATTTATTTAGTATATCCAATGCATTTTACACACGTTTTCAAAAAGAATCTAAATTTGTTAAACATGAAAAAATTGACAATCACCCTCCCACAAAAAGCCAATGTCTGGTGATTAAAACGGAAAAGAAAGGTGAGCTAGCATCACAATACAGTAATATCCAGAAGACTGTAATCTATGATTATTTACTTTTACTGTTCTCTCAGCAGTGTTTACTCATTTATCATCCAGAGGTTAAAACAGGGCTTAGTATACTGTAAGCACTCTGTAAGTTATTTTTCAAAAAAAAAAAAAAAAAAAAAGAATGGATATCATATTTAGCACAAAAGGGACTCTGATTAGGTTCTGAATATGAGTCATAATAATGCACTTCAACTTCACTCCAGCATTTCAATGCATGACCAAAAAAAAAGCATGTGGTTTAAAGAATATAAAGAAAAAGTATGTGTCCCTCCATCCCTTTCATTAAGCACTCCATTGAACTTTGTGGCATCATAATTCTGCTAGAAGGGTCAGTATTGCCACTCTTATTTTGCAGACTCCAGGAGGAAGTCGTGTACCCCCTGCCTAAAGCCACAAAAGGAATACATGCAAAATTACTGAACCTAAGACAAAAACGGCATTATCTCATCAACAGTTGCTACCTCTCCAATTAACACAAGAAGTTTTAGAAGTGTTTCCGCCAACTCCTCCTGCGAGCAACAGTGAAAGTAACAGCTAAGGTGGATCCAGCGCTTCGCTCTGGGCCAGGGGCACCCCAGATCTTTCAACTGGTGGAAGTGAGTCCCAAGCTCCATTTAAGAGACCCTGTCCCTGGCCCGGAGGAGCCTCAGTCCCAGCCCCTGCCACACCCACTGGAATACCGAGGGCGACCCGGGCTTGGAACCCAGGCCTGCATTACCTTCGCTCACGCCCACCTCGGCCCCCAGAGTCTAGACAGGCGGCGCTTCACGCGGTCTCCTCGCTCCAGGGGCCAGCCTCCGCTTCCGCACCTTTGGGGTCTATGGCAACCCCGACGGCAGGGGAGGGAGGTGACACACCCCGAGGCCGGGAAATAGGCATAGACCCGCCCTCCCGAAACCGAGAGCGAAACCACACCTCCCGGCCCTTGCCGCCACCGACCGCCGGCCGACGGCGGCCCGAGGGCAGGGATACACACACTGCGCACGCGCCTCGAGGCCGGGATGGCGTCACACGTAACGTTACGCACGCCAGCGATTCTCAGGGAGCCGAAGCCGTAGCGCTCTAGGTTTTGCGTCTCCCCGGGGTGCTGGAGCTGTGAAGCGTCTTTCTCTCTCCCCACAGCGTCTATGGCAACGAAAGTTGCGCGCGCAGACGGAGCGTCCTTTGGTCCCGCCCCCTCGGCGGAGCGGTGGGTAGGGCGGGGCAAACCTGTGCTGGACACGCTGGCTCCGCCCACCTGGGCCCTGGACCCCGGAGGCTTGCTAAGGCCGCTGGGCAGAAGTTAGTTTAGTACAGGTTGGGTTAAAAGTGATGTCTTTTAGACAATATAAAGTTAAAAGTCTGACTGGGGAAACCGCGAGATAATACTCTGTTATTATTATTTTTAACTTTTTATTGCCTTCATTTCGAAATGCTTTATCCTTCCAACGAAACCGTACTATTCTATAGTCGATATTTATGCATATGTTTATAAATCAATAAGAAGAAGACAACCTCAGGAAAAATGGGCGAAGATTTGAACAGGCCATCCAAAAATAAATAAAGCAAATAATAAGCTATACAAAGGTGTTTATTATGAAAAAAGAATTGGAAATGAAAACAATGTTTCATTTTCACCCAATTTAGCAAAGATTTTAAATCATGGCTAATGGCCACAGTTGGCAAGAATATGGAGAAACAAGTGTATATACTGTGGGTGGGAGTAAAAATTGATGTCAGCCTTACAGAAGGCAAACTTCACAATGGCCTTACGCCCTAGCCCAGCAATTCCCACTCCTAGCAATTTATCTTTAGTAAACAAACAACTGGCACTCGCTTTGAACAAAATGTTTATTTCAGCACCTTAATAACAACAATAAAAAATTGGAAACTCTAAATGTCTACTTTAAGATATTTAAATTCTTTTTATTTTTATTTTTTTTTTAAGATAATTAATTAAATTCTTATGGTACATCCATATAATGGAATATTATGCAGCCATTAATCAGCTATATGTGTCAACAGTATTGCATGAAGATAGGAGACTATAGACCTGGGTGTAGAGTTTGAACCATTTTATGTAAATTTTAAATATGTAAAATACAGTTTTTTACAAGTCTTCCAGGACATGTATCTATGGAGGGGGGGGGAAATGTCCTTTCAAAAAATGGTGCTAGGTCATTTGGAAATCCATATGGAAAAAACTTTATTTGGACACTTACGTCACATCATAAACAAAAATACAGTTTACTTGGATTGCCAATCTATATTTTGAAAGTCAAACAATAACTTTTAGCAGAAAACATCTTTGTGAACTTGAAGTAGGCAAAAAGTTTATAACAGGACAGGAAAAGCACTTAATAATAAAAGAAAAATATATGATTTTAACTATATTAAAATTAAGAACATCTATGGATCATAAGAAACCATTGAGAGGAAAAGGCAACTTATAGAGTGGGAGAAGATATTTATAATAATGTACGTATGTATGACAAAAGACTTGTATCCAGAGTATATAACTCCTATGAGTGAAAAAATTCCTACAAGAAATATAAATTTTCCCAATGGAGAAAATGGGCAAAAGACTGGAACAAACACTTCAAAAAGATGAGATCCAACAGGCTGATAAAATATGAAAAGATGTTCAATTTCATTAGTCTTTGGGGAAATGTAAACTAAATCCATAATGAGATATACACTGGACTGGCTAAAATGAACAAAGACTGACCATATTAGTGGTGGAGAGTATGGGGAGCAACCAATTCGAAGCTGATTGGAAGAAAAAGATCTTCCAAGATCTTCCAAACTCAGAGAAATCAAGGATCAAAGTGATTAGCCAATTTGCTGAAGGTCACGTAGGCAATAAGTATCAGAGTCGGGGTTTGGATCTATGTCAGCCTGACTCCAAGGCCTATCTGTTCGGCAGAGAATTCCTAGAAATTGCCTTCACTAACTTTAAAACAACATTATAATCTACATTTGTGACCAGAAATACTTACAGTAGGCCAGTAATATTTTTACTAAAGATGTTTCATTCATTTCATTCTAAATGCAGTAGGGTAAATTGTTGCAAAACTTTTGGAAAAGATGGAATGTTGTGAATGAATAAAATTAGTACCTGAAACTTTAAAAAGTTAAAAGAAGCCGGCCTGTGTGGTTCAGCGGTGGAGCATCAACACAAGTGGTCATTGGTTTGATTTCTAGTCAGGGCATGTGCCCAGATTTCCAGTTCAATCCCTAGAAGGGGGCATGCAGGAGGCAGCCAATCAATGATGTTTCTCATTGGTGTTTCTATCTATCTATCTATCTCTCTCTCTAAAAATCAATAAAAACATATATTATTTTTAAAGTCCAAAGCAAATAACCAAATAAGCCCTGCATTAATATATTTGCAAATTTGGATAAAAATGCACAGCTGTGTGAGTGCATTTAGTATCAACTTTGACTTACATATCTTAACAAGCACACATAGTGTCTGAGCGGAAGGAAGCTAGCTACAATCATTCTTTCCAGTTCCTGAATGTTCTTTGTGCTCAACTGGCATGGCAATGAGGACCTAAGTAGCATACAGAAATTAAAACATCTTGCTCCTCAGTCTCTGCTCTGATCATATTTCTACGTCAAACCAAACAGAAATTAAACTGCTTCTGTGGTCATTTATCACCAATCAACTTGCTGAGTCCTTAATTACACCCTCAGACAGATTCTGTGAGGTGACAATATAGATTGTAGTTCCAAAAACCCACAGGGAGTTTCTTGGGTGATGGAAATGTTAAAAATCTTGACAGGGGATTTAGGTTAGAAGTATACATATATGTCAAAACTCATCAATGATATAACTAGATTTGAGCATTTCACTAAAAATAAATTTTACCTTAAAAAAAAAGAACCCTAGCTCTAGCCAATTTGGCTCAGTGGTTAGAGCATTGGCCCACGGACTGAAGGGTCCCAGGTTCAATTCCAGCCAAGGGCACGTACCTTGGTTGCATGGCTAAGCTGTTGAGCGTCGACCTGGGATCCAGACGATCAGGGTTCGGTTCCCGGTCAGGGCACATGCCCGGGTTGCGGGCTCCATCAATGACTCTCTCATCATTGATGTTTCTGTCTCTCTCTCCCCCTCTCCTTTCCTCTCTCTGAAATCAATAAAGATATATTTCAAAACAAAACAAAACAAAAACCTCACACCTGAAACCTATATGTTCATATTAACCACTGTCACCCCAATAAATTTAATTAAGTGTTAATAAATAAATAAATAAATAAGATGATATAACTAAGTGCTATGTTGTATGATAGAGATGAAGTGTTGTAGGCATCTAAAGAAGGGAAAATTAGTAAAAAAAATAAAGGTGGGGGAAGGAGACTTTAATTTTTGTCTTAAAAGGTTGCTGTTATTTGGGGAGGGGGAGTAGCAGCCTAGCTCAGGAACATAACAGACAAGAAGAAGGGTAATTGCAGAAAAGAGACAAAAAGTTAATACTATTGGAATGCTACAGAGGTAGTGTCTTAGCTCAGGCTGCTGTAACGAACTACCATGGGCTGATGATTTAAACAACACAAATGTATTGCTCACCATTCTGGAGCCTGGGAAGCCCAAGATCAAGGTGCTGGTAGATTTCGTTCCTGGCTTGCAGCTGGCCGCCTTCTCATTGTGTGCTCACAAGGCAAACAGAGAAAGCAAGCTCTCTGGCCTCTTCTTATAAGGGCACTAATCCATTCGTGGGGACTCATCCTTGTGACCTCATGGTAACTCAATTATCTCCTCAAGGTCCTATCTCCAAAATACCATCATATTTGGGGGTAGGAGGGTAGGGCTTCAACATATGAATTTTATGAGGGCGCAATTCAGTCCATAGCAGGAAGTGAAGAGCCGGAGTGTAGAGGACCGTGGAAGCCAGACTAAGGTGCCAGAATCTGTGCAGTAGGAAATGGTCGAGAGGGAAGGAAAGAATTAAGTTTGGTTCTTACCTAGTGAGGAATGATGGTAGAATTGCCAAGTGGAAATATCCAAGAGGGAGCTGGAAATCAATAGCTGGCTGAAGTTCAGGTGAAAAAAAAACACTGTAGTAACACTCAGCCCTGTGAATTGCTAAGTAAGTACTTTATTATTACTTATTATTTACAGTCATTGTGATACTTAATTTAGAAGGAAAATCAATACCAAAAGTTGTTAAAAACACTGGCCCTGGGGACTCTTCCTCTTAATAGCTCACCAAACACTGACCCTCCTTGAGATCAATGGGGCTTCTCTCTTTGAATAGCTAAAATACATCAGCTCTGGCACCTGAATCCCTGGGTTAAAATCTTCACCTACCAGCTATGTGACCTTGGGCAAGGAAAACTTCCAGGGGTGGCACTGAGAATTCCCAAATGACTGTAAAGTGGTTAGTACAGGATTTTGCCACTATCTGATCAATGGTAGCTGCTCCTGAAAAATGCCTGTTCTTTTCTGGAAGACAAGGTGCTAAATTCAGGACCGCTTTTCTGAGATTTCCTTCTTTTGCTGTTTCTTTTTATATTCAAAATCTTTAATAGAGCAGGAGAGGAAAAGAGGGAGGGAGGCTAAGGAGAAGAAATGGGGGGAAAAGAGAAGACCATCGAGACCAAATTATTTCGTATCTGCCACTGAGAAGCTGTCAGATGTATCTGCTTTCTGTCTTCAACAATTTGGGCAGGTTTCAAAGAGCAGAAAGAAGGCCAGCCGCAAAAATGAATGAACACATGGATCAGCATGGATGCATTTCAAAAACATAATGTGGAATGAAAAAGGCAAGTTGCACAACAGTTTTACATTGTCTTACCATTTATGTAATATTTAAAAACACACGAAACATTTCTGCTTAATGTTTATTGATACAAATGTAGGAAAAATATAAAAATATGAATGAGGGCCCTGGCTGGGTACCTCAGTTGTTTAGTGTCGTCCCAACACGCCAAGGTTGCAGGTTCAATCTCTAGTCAAGGCACATACAAGAATCAACCAATGAATACATAAATAAGTGGAACAACAAATGGATG